AAAGCAAATTTTTTAATTAAGTAATACTAATAATATTTCAGTAAAAATAATAACATTTGTAATAATATTTCAGTGAAAGAAAAACAAAAGTATTATAATCAAAACAAGTATTAAAAATAGAAAAATATTTCAGAAATGATAATAAAACTATATTTCCATTTTGTCATACATAAGCGGCATTTTAAACAAAAAGATATTTTTGATGACATATAAAGTCTATAGATTATTATCTCTATAATAATGCACTTTTTATGGCATGACCATGAATTTTGTAATTATGGCATGACCATGAATTTTGTAATTATGACATGGCCATAAATTTTGTAATTATGGCATGACCATAAATTTTGTAATTATGACATGACCGTGAATTTTGTGATTATGACATGACCATGAATTTTGTAATTATGACATGACCATGAATTTTGTAATTATGGCATGACCATGAATTTTGTAATTATGGTATGACCATGACTTTTATTGAAAAGATTATAACATATGATATCATGAATACTATGATGTATATAGTTTTAGTGCAGTTAAGTGCAAAATATCATTAAATTTTTTTCATATCCCGATGGCTATGTGAAAATAGTTAAAAAATAATAAATACAATTTTCATCAACTTTGAGTATCTCGGTAATTAATTTATATTCAGCAAAAGCTCTGCAGGCTGTGTTTTTATTATTACTAGGTTCATGAAATTAATCTGAGTTCTGCTCTTTACTTGTTGTCCCAATATTTTATTAGCTATGGCTCTCACCTGACATTTTCTTCTTTCCGTTTTATATCCAATTAGCAGAATTAGCTTAAAAAGGTTTATCCTAGTGTGTAGGCTAGATAATTATATTAACTCTAAGTTGATATCTAAGTTCAACACCTATATGTATTAATGTTTTTTATTATTATAAAATCCATTAAATTATAATGTTACAATGCAAGTAATAAACAAACATTCTTTTTATTTAGACTTGGTTTACTGTTTTCATTTTGACTTACCTCTTTGTGAAGACTTTGCCCTGTTGTATCATCGTATCCATCTAAAGTTTAGTTAGTTCCTTAACAATTGTAATTAGCATAGGAGTTTGTGCCCAGATCTTTTTAAAAATGTATTTTAGAAGGGCTTTTTTGTGGTATGTTTAGAGTCGTTTACATGAATTTTCTTTGGTTAACATTCAGCTTTGATCTTTTGTTTTTTTTGTTTTTTTGTTTTTTTGTTCTGTTTTTAAACATTTTAGTAAATCATTGTACAATAAAATCGTTAACTTTTAAATAACAAAATCATACAATAAGAACTAAGTAAAAGATAATATATTTATACAGGTATTTAATTTTATAAAAATAACGCAGAGACTCCCAGAAGACCGTCAGGTCTTGTCATCGAGAACCGCTCGTATTTTACAATCTCAATAAATCATATTCAATTATAGTTGTATATCTTTATAAAAACTTTACAGCATAAATACATCAAATATTACATAAAATTATTAAACGTTTAAAAATATAAAAATATATTATCCAGAGACAAAATTATTTCTTTAAGTTTATTTTTAAATGAGAGGTAACTCCATTCCAGAGAAAAATCAAAATGTTTTAAAACTATTTTATTCGAAAGAAAAGCTCCGCAAAATGCAATGTTTGTTTTTCCAAAACTAGTTTGATAAAAAGGTTGCCGAACTAAATTGTAATTTCTCATATTGTATTTATTTTTATCTTTCAAGGTATATAAATTATGGAAAGAAACTGGGGAGGAATTTATTTTACATTTGTACATAAAACAAAGAGTATTGAAAACATTGAGCTGAAATATATTTAAAATTTTCATTTCAGATAAAAGAGGCCTGGCCTGAGTAAATCTGTCTTTAAAGTTGATAAGAAAGCAACATGCTTCTGCTGACGATAAAAAGTTTTAGTTTACTTTTATTTGCATTACACCAAGCAATATTTGCATAGTTAAAATGACAATAGATAGACGAAAAATATAATTGTGTTAAAAATTGTTTATTTAAGGCATTTCTAGCCTTATATATTACTCCTATACTTTTAGCAATTTTGTTGTACAAAAAATTAGAGTGGTATTTCCAGCTAAGATTTTCATCAACATGGACACCTAAAAAGTTAGTATTTTTTCTCTTTTTATTTGAATTTTGTCTATAAAAAGTAAGAGCAAGTTAGGAGGCAGTAGTTTCTTTATAGAAGTCGGATGAAAGAGTGACCATTTTGTTTTATCCACATTTAGCAACAATTTATTCATTTTGAACCATTCACAAGTTTTCTCTAATTCGATGTTTATAGTTTGAAATAATGTTAGAATACATTTATGCGGTAGAATACATTTATTTGATTTTGTATCCATTATATAAAGCATAAATGTGGCAGTTTTTTTTTTCAGAACTATTTCTTAGAATTATGCTTAATAAAAAAAAAATTAATGCTCTAGCCTTTATCAGGTGAATACTTATTCACCTGTTCAATTTTTTATGTAAAATTTCTAATATATTTTTGGTAGTTTTTGCACTTAAACTCGTTTTCTAGAGTTTATTTTGTCGTGTAAAGTAATCCGGGACTAGATAAACTGGTTAAACTTTCATATGTTTTTTCTGTCACAGCTTTCTCAAAAGAGAAAAATGGTCTTCAAACTTCATTAACTGATGATGTAGCATTTAATGTACTATAGGTATACTGAAAATTTTAAGTTTGCTCATTTTCATGACTCCTCCAAAAATGAGTATTTTCGTTGCTTGCAGATATCCATTTTTATTATATACTTTTATAAGGTTTCTGCACTCAGAATTTTTAAATTTAATATCTATTGAAACTAGAAAAGTTAATACCAATGAATAAAATGATATATCATAAAAAATTAGTTTATTTTGTTGTGCAAGTATAAAATTTCACATTTTTAACTATACCAAAAAAAAAAAAAATTGTTGGGCAAACAAAACAATTTGTGTTGGAATAAATTGAAAAAAAAATAACAGCTACTGTTGTTTGGGTAAAAAAGTCAATTTCAGGCAAACAATATAAGTTAAAAGTCAAAATTTTAAAATGTTAAAGAAACCCAAAAAGGAAAGTTAAAAGCAATGATGTATTTATGTATGTATGTATGTATGTATGTATGTATGTATGTATGTATGTATGTATGTATGTATGTATGTATGTATGTATGTATGTATGTATGTATGTATGTATGTATGTATGTATGTATGTATGTATGTATGTATGTATGTATGTATGTATGTATGTATGTATGTATGTATGTATGTATGCATGTATGTATGTATGTATTTATGTAGTTCAAATAGGTTGTATACATATTGCATTTACTAGATCTTTAAATTTTACATTTACTAGATCAGTTTAAATTAAATTATGAAACTATTAAATGCAGTATGTATACAAAAAAAATTATTTAGAGTTACATAGTAAATAAAATTTTCTAAATGGTTAGTATTTCTATTTGCCATATACGTATATACATACATGCATAAATACATACATGCAAAAAAATATACATTCATATATACATACATACATACAAACTTTTTTAATTTAGTCTTTTACTCTAGACTTTTACTAACACGGCCAACGACACTGGTTTTGAACTTCTTAAAAAAAAAAATTCCTTTAGAAAAAAGTTGGGGGGGATACAAAGTATAATCTTTTGATCTTGAATAAAAGTTTTTGTGTGAAGAAATGAAGAAATAGCAAACTTATGAATAAAAAATATCGAAAAATCAAAACATGAAAACTATTGGTTACGCTACACGCAAAAACAAACTAACACAAGCATGAGCAGTTCTGTCATATTTGCATTTTTTTATTTTGTTTTTACCCCTCTGTTTTAGATAGAGATAGTGTCACCCGATGCAATCCGCACCCCCTTTACCTCCCCCCCTCCTCCCCTTAGCGATACCACTGCAATACTGTACTTTAAATCTTGAAATTCATCGAATATTTTTATTTTTACTTCATTTTTCTTTTTTTTTTTCAAATAATTTGTTTTTAATATATTAGTTTATGTAAAAAAAATATATGTATCGTTTTAAATTGTTGCTCCATACTTTAATATAGTAACATAAAAAATCTACAAATTTTTTCAATTGTGTGCCCTCACTATTATGATTTTGCAGAGATTCCCATTTAGGCTTTTAAATGATGACTATTTTAATGGTTCTTGTTTCCGTTGAACCACGACTAAAACAAACATCTTAAAGTCCAACTCTGAATTTGACCTTAATGTTGTTATTAACAATCATTTTCTGTGGATCGACTAAATAGCAAAAGCTACTTCAAACTTGAATGCTGCTCTCGGTATTCTTACATGCTTATTCCAAGGTTGGACGCTTGTCTCGCGTCCTTTTTCTACTCTTACGTGGGGTCTTATTTAGAGTATTGTTATGCAACATTAAAACCCTTTTATTACAAAATATAAACGCTCATGTCTCCTCCCTATAAACCATGAAAACTAAAGACCGCTTCACAGTGGGCCAGATGGTAGAAAAAACCTCAAAAAGCACTAAATATTGCAACTTTATGCAAACAAGTCTTATTCTTGTGATTTTGTTGTTCTCTTTTTTCTATTTTCACGTCTTTTTATTGTTAACAATAAAAATATTATTTTACTTTATCGTGTTCTAAAACACTGAGATAAAAATTGATAATGTAAACATTTTTTCATAATATAATTTAAAAATATGAATTTTATTTCATTCTTTCAAAATTCTTATAAATAACATTAATATAAAACAAATTAAGATATAAATATAATTTAAAATTTTATAAACCAAAAATTTTAAATGGGATAAAATATCACAGTAATCAAGTCACTAGAATGATTACTACTTTCAAACCTCTTAAAATCATTACTATCTTTTTTATAGTTTTAATGTTAACTGAAAGAATATCTTACTTTGTGTTTAACTTATTGAATATCTGACTATTTAAAAAAATTTAATATTTGGACTTTGCAAAGTTAGTATTATCAGCTAGAACAATTATTTACAAATATGTTACTATTTTTTCGCTATAATAACAAAACTTTAAATATTGACTTTGTCAAGAAATGAACCGGCTATTCCATTTATCGTTTAACGTTGCAAATACATTAGCGACAGCTATAAGGTCTTCTCGACGAAAAGCCTCTGTAACAAATAAATCGGTATCAGAATCCCAACAACATTTACTTGCGTGTTTCATTCCGTCTCCGCGAACAGCACTTATAAAAATAATAACAATAACTTTGTATTCATTTTGACGAACATTTAGAGTCGTTTTTATTGTTGTCTCGATAATTTCACTTAAGGTTGTGCAACGTTTTCTTGATTGATCCGGATCGTAATGCCAATGGTCTAAGTTCTTTTTTAAAATTTTACCAACAATTTCGTTTAGCTTGCGGTGAGATTTCAACTTTTGGTCAAACTTTGACTTGAACGGCCTGATTATTTCAGATAAATTGGTAGAATTTAAATAGTGTGTCGACGATAAATTTGATCCGCGACTCTTTTCTAAATCAGTTTGTCCCTGCGTCCAAGTTCTAGATCGTGGTCGCTCACTTTCTTGAGCTTGATTGTTTGTATTTCGAACAAATAAATTGCGAGCTTCATTGTAAGATGAACTGAATATATTTTTAGTTAATCCTTCTTCACGAAAACTTTTGTCCAACGAAGGAACTAACAATGAATTTTTACAAGATGCATAAGAAGTTGCAAACTTTGGTTTAGGGTTGAACTTTGTGTTTATAGGTTGTTTATATGAAACTGCTTTTAAGGAGATGAGTTCCTATAGAAATAAATTATTTTATACAATTCAATTTAGTTTTGTAAGGTTGCATAACTGCTTAAATCAATCTTAAAGTAGCCTATAAAACCACTAAAGACTTTAATAAAATGTTAATTTTCATTAGGATTTAGGCTCTTCTGTTTCAACATTAGGCTTGTCTATTTTCCTTTAGTCTACCCTATACTATTTGTTATAACAGTTATATTAGTAGTGTAATAGCAAATGTAAAAAAGCTTTCAATAAATTTTTGATAAACAAAATAAAAAATTTTTATCAATAAAAATATGTTTTTTCTCAAATAAAGTTCGAAGTTTTGTATAATTAAAAACTCAATGAATGGAGAAAATTTGGAAAAAAATGAATGGAGAACGAACGGAGAAAACTTTCAACCGTTTCAAAACGGTTTCTTCATTTTAACAATTTTAAAATATTTAAAGTCTGTTGAAAATATAACTAAAATAGTCTTAGTCATAAAGTTTAAAAAATTACAATATAAAAAGTTAAAATTTAAAGAAACAAAAATTTAAAAATCATAAGATTGTAAAAATAATTATTTAGACTTTTATTGCATTTTTTTTAATTAGATAAAAAAATCCTGTTTTGCGTGTGTGTTTTTTTAAATAACTTTCTATATTTTTTTTTTGTTAAATAAAAATAGTAAAAAAAGCCTAAAGGCTTTCGGGAAATATTAAATATAAAGATATTCAAGTCTTTATAAATATTGAAATATTTCTGTCACAATGTAAACTAGCTAAAAGATGGCATTTAAAAGATAATTTTAATGTGAAACTCTTTCATGCGTTCCAAGTTTCTCCTCGGTATTCGTTGAGTTATGCAACCGTGGCGCAGTGGTAGAGTTCTGACTCAGAAACAAGAAGTCCGAGGTTCGACTCAGGCTCTAACCCAAATAGCGACATTGGTAAGATGTAAACTTCCTAGTTGAATTCTACATCAATAAAAACTTTTTGCAAGTTTTTTATTGAAGTTGTAGTTTTTATTGAATTTGAATTCAATAAAAAGTTTTGATTTTAATGATTCATTTAAAAAAAATGTTTTCATCTTTGATATTAAGCTTTACAAGATTATAAAAAATGAAGACTAAGAAATTATTGATTAAAAATTTGTTGATGATTATAAATTCATGTTTTGTTTGCAAAAAAAAAAAAAAAAAAAAAAAAAAAATTACACCGATACCTTCATTCTCGGAATTGGGAGCCTAAAATCTTAGAGATTTTGTTGTTCCCCAATCTCCAAAAACAGCTCTTCATTTTTAGTAAAACATCATTTTTTATTGATATGAACATTTTTCATTGATATGAACACTCTAATTTAGAGTTTTGATTTTGATGATTCATTTAAAAAAAAGTGTCTTCACCTTTAAATTGTCCAAGCTAAGAGCCACATTCTGTACTTTTTGATAACAATTAAAGCAGTCAACAATAACTGATAATATTACTCCATGTGTTAAATTTTTGAATAAATTTTTTTTTTAATATGTTTTCATAAAGATATAACCGTATTTTAAAATTAAGTTGAAACTCATTATATTTACATTTGTTTTTAGTTATTATGTTTCTTCAAGAAGACCTTAACGTTACCACAGAGCACCACAGCAGAGCATTTATCTTAGAAGTTTACAACTCCTTTCTTACCCATGTCTCTTATCTAGCCAGAACATCCCAGCAAGCACACTTACGTAGGGCCAACGTATGTAAATACATCGCTAACGTCGGCTGTTTTCTTCAATGCAAAAACATCGGACGACTTGGTTTTTATCCAAAATTCGTACCGGGACTGCTTAAAGAAGTCTTAAAAATAATAAGTTTTAATGAAGTTTTAGTTTAAATGAACAAATAAAATCTTTCTGTAAAATGAATCTCATTGATATTAGGAATGTTCTTAAAATTTCATAACTAAAGCCTGGTCTAATCAGAAGAAACTATATTTTGAAATCTTAATAAGTAGGAAAGAAAAAACCATGTTTTGAAATCTCAATAATAATGAAAAGTAGAAGAAATTATTAAAATAAAGAAGACACAAAACAAAAGTACAAAAAAATAATTATAGTGCAAAAGCGTTTTAAAATACTCCTGAAACATTTGGGTCGTTTATTTTAAATTTTCACTAAAGTCTTTATTTATTGTCTTTTTTTTTTTAATTTAATACTTTTTTTTGTTTTTTTTTGTTTTATTCGAAAACTGTTTATGCCTTTTGATGATTGTGTCATACAAGGCTGTGAAGTCGGAGTCGGAGTTGGAGCCGAGGAGTCGGAGTCGCGACATTTTTATCAATATCGTTATTAACAAATATAATTTTAGGTACCCGAAGTCATTTGAATGAATTAAGAAAATAGCTGAACAAAATCTAAAAACAACCATCTGGTCTGGCCGCATTTGTAATCGAAATAAAAAGAAGCTTAAGCTTTTTAGTTAAATGCTCATTCGTGGTGTTCGGTGATAAGACCTCACAGAGCATCTTAATAACCACCCATCATTCGCGGTGTTCTGTGATAAGACCTTAAAGACATCTCAGAGCATCTTAATAACCACCCAAAAAAAAAGAGAAAAAAAAAGGACTTTATTTGAATTTTATGTTTGTTCTGAAATAGATTTTAAATATAATTTGTTTTTTAAATTCTACATTTAATGAATGTAATGAGTTTTTTTGGAGTTTTTATTGATATATGTAATACTAATAATTCAACACTTTCAATAAGATGATATTTTGAAACGATGCGGTGTGGACAAAATAATGTTGTTCAAAATGATGTCGTTCATCAGTATTGTGTCGTTGTGGAAAAAATTAATGTTCTACATCAGGATTTTAAATTTTGAAAATATGAAAAACTATTGCAAAAACACTTTTCTTCATTGAATAAAACTTTCATGGTTACTTTTAATATCATACCAAATATAGTTCTGTATAGAGCTAATGCAATTTTCAATAAACTTTTCTTTTCCTTTACAAGGCAAAGAAATTTTCGTTCCTTTCCTTTGTTAAGCAATCAAGTACTTAACTGTTTTTAGGCATCATTAACATATTCCAATTTTACTACTGTTGTATCGTATATCCACAAATAACGTTACGCGATAGGGAGGAGGTGAAAAGGATTTGCAATTTTGTGACGGTTTGTTACAGAGGGAGGTGCGATGAGTATTCAGTTTTGTAAAACAACATTTTTTTTATTTTTCAAATCTAGAAAACCTTTTCTAATGATTGAAAGAGTGCCTAGTCTAAAACATAAACCCTCTGATGATGTACACTCGACTGCGGCTCTTCCAATTTAACTTTAATTGTAATTAACTTGAATTTCAATGAAATTAATTTATACAACTTTATATCGAACAATTGGACTTCGAACTTCCACCTTTCCTATATTCCACTTCTCCCATAAATTACAAAAATATTTCAAAATCCTCCCTCCCCCTTCTTCACCAAAATTCCTGGATTCGTCTCATAGGTTAATATAATAATATAAACATATAAAACAATTTTTTATATGAAAATTTTTTTTGATGAAAGTTGTCTTATATAAACATATGAAACAACTTTCATCAAAACCCAAAAATTTGTTTTCTTAAAAAGAGTTGAACCCTTAACCTTAACTACACGCACCTCAAATTACTGAAGTTTAATCATTCACAGCTCTACGCTAATATGATACTGTTGTAAAAACTAAAAAATTATTTGCTTATTAAGAATAGTTTTATGTGGCTAATTATTTGTACGCGCGTGTAAATAATGACTTTCAAAGTAATATTAAATAAAAATAATTAAAATTTATATGTATTAAAATGTATTCATTAGATAACTAAAAGCAGCTAAGGAAATTAAAAATATTATCGTATTTATAATCACAAAAAAAAAGTTTTAGGAAGGAGGGGATACAAACTTGTTGGGTTTTTTAGGGGAGGGGGTCAGTAATTGTGTAAGGGAGGAGTGGCCCATACTTTTCAAAACCTCCATGACGTAATTTATGGGTGACCTCTATAAAGGTTGACTTTTAATAGATCAAAAAAAGAACTGAAAATAAGTCCATCTTTTAAAAATTCCTTGTAAATAAAAGTTTTCTTTATAAATATAGCTTAGAATTGTCAACTGCTTCAGCTGATTCCATTGCACCTGATGAGCCATTATAGTTGGTTGGGTAGTTATAGTTTGGTTTGCAACAAATATAATTAACTGCATCCTTTTTTCCTACCTACATTCTGCGACCACAGCAATGTTTTGAGTTTATTCTACATCAATACATTTATAAGCTGATATACCAGTTATCACCATAAATTTTATATTTGTTGTTTATCTCAAAGGAAGTGTTTTGTTCTACAAACAGTTTTTAAATAACAACTAAAGCATGAAAAAATCGTTGCCTTTTTAAATAACATTCTTTGGAAAAATGCTGCAAAAACATACTGGATACACAAGAGTTTTCAAAACACTTTTGATCAAATAAAAAATATACAAATATAAAAAAAAAAATTCCGCCTGTGGATAGGAGTTCATAGAAATATCAGCTATTGTTTCAGATAAGAGTTTCTTCCAGATGATAGATTAAGTACAGCACGTGATATTCTTTCCAAACAAGAGTTACACATTTTATAATAGAACCTATTTTTTTTAATGTAATTTTAATGTAAGTTGTTGATCCAAAATAGTAAATAGTTTGATTTTTTAGGTCTTGTACATTATCTAAAATTAGTATAAACTCCATTGGTAGTGGAGTTTAAACTAATTTAATTCCAATCTCGGAGATTTAAAGATAATTATTAGATAATAACTTTAAAGGCTTGTTTGCTTCTTTGTTTATTATATTAGCTATAAATTGAATCGTCTCGGAAGAATTCAGACCACTATTCAGAGCTACAATTTTCTTAAATAGTTTAAAAAGTTTTTTTTAGACACTTTGATGTTTATTTTCCAATTAGTTTGTATTCCGAATTTCGAACTACATCCAATACATCCAAAGAAAAACGATAATATTTTTTTTATAATAATTTTATTTAGGTGCCTCAAGTAGTTCTTACGATCTTATCACAGAGCACCTCGGATGAGCATTTAATAGAAAGTTCACTCCTCTTTCCTAACCGATATTGCAAAACTTGCACAGAGGTGGGGTTTGAGCCATGGATCGTTTGCGTCTGAGGTAAGTGGACTACCACTGCGCCACGGCTGATTGAATATCTTGAATAAGTTAAAAATATTTTTACACTTTAGTCTATTCCGTACACTTTATATATTTTTAATTCTTTTTTTTTCTTTTTCTTTTTTTTTTTAAATAAATAATATAAAATGACTACAAACATAAAAACGAAAATAAAAAATTAAAACTGAACGTTTTTTTTCTTTGAAAATAAATCAGTTTTAAAATATTTGTTTGTAAGAGTTGTTATCTGAATAAATCAAAGAAACAGAAGACTTATTTAAAATCAAAGAAACAGAAGACTTATATAAAAAAGTATAAATAAGACTAATAATGGTTCAATTTAAAATTCAAGGTGAATTCAATAGTATATAATTATATATAATAGAATTTAATAGAATATAATACAACATTAACAATGATATTATAACATATAAGAGCTATCAGAAAATTTTAGCTTTATCAATGAGAATATAATTCAGTTAATTGGTTTTAATTGTAGTTTTTTTCGAGGGAAAATCATTCCGTAGCAAAAATTATGATTAGTTTTCAGTAAATAACAAAAAAAAAACATTCACTTTATCGTATCTAACTAAATTATAATACAAAAATAGAACATTATAAATTACATGAATGACAAACAAACAAAAAAATCATTATCTTTAGCTAGGAATACCTTTGCCATCATGATCACAATAATACGAACATGCTGATATCAAGTTATATACTTATATACATATATATAAAATTTAACTAAGTTGCTTTATAAATTTAAAGTTGTTTCGTACAGTCTCAGAATAATCTTTGTTGTTTCACTGTGTTGAAAGTTGCCATTTTTTTTCTTTTGACTGACAAAGATTATTTGTCTTGTAACGTTGCCGATAAGCTATCTAGTTGATGAGAAAAATCACAGGGTTCTCTCAAAAAATGTAGTTGGAAAATATTTTTATAACAGCAAGATTAAAGTTGAACAATATTGACGTTAATTTTTGCAGGCATCCTAATGTAGCTTATTTTCGCATATCTCATAAACAATATCGCACACTTCCACTAATCGGTAAAAAATCTTTTTTCGATTAACTTTCAAATATTTTCGCGCTTTTTTACAAAGAAAACAAAAGCCTTTGGAATTCGTAAACATACGATGAGATTAATTTTTCAAAATTAATTACATTTTGTAAAGATAAATCCATGTAGTAGCATTTGATAAAGACTTGAAATAAATTTAACAAGGTTTGATAATCAATTGATCATGAAATTACATTTTTAATGTAAACATTTTAGAGACAAATAACGTCAGTAAAAGGTTTTAGTTGTACTATGAAATTGTATTTCGAAAAAATATATATATAATTCTATTAGAATTTTAAACATTTTAAATGAATCGTAAAAGAAATGAATCATAATAACAACTAGTTAAAGTAAATCTAAAATGAGTCAAAATTTAATAAACAAGCTATTGCTTATAAAATAAATACTCGGATGTTAAAATATGTTCAATTCGAAGCAAGAAAATAAAATATCGCCGTATTTCACGTAAAAAAGATTATGTTAATCTGCAAACAAAAGATTTTCGGACAACAAGAAAATTTGTTATAAAATACTTTTTAAGTACTTTGGCTCGACAAAGCAGCTTATAATCGTGTTTTACAAAAATTAAAAAAGTTATTTGAATAACCTAAAATCTATTTACTTCAAATGTATTTTAACATTAAAAACATTTTCATATATTTCCATCAAAACCTGATTTTCATTATGCCATGTCTAAATTTGACCTGAATAAAAATAAGTTTTTTAATAAAACGCGTTTATGGTAATCTACAAAAATTACAAAAACTTATTAAAAAAAGCGAAAAAAATTAAATTTTAACATTTTTTTTCATAAAATTGCATATTTATATACTTAAAGTGAAAAAAATGTAAAAAAACAACATAATTTCAATAACTTTTTTAAATTTACGGACATGAAATTTAATACAAGTTCTTTACAAAAGTAGAAATTAATTACAGTGTCACAAAATGCAAATTAATTTAACTTTCTTTCGCAAGAAACCTCTTTTGGGGTATGGTTGTACGCAAATAGGCGGTCACATTCAAGGCCGGCGCGATAGAGGGTGTGCGGGGGTGTGACACCCCCCCCCCCCCCATCAATGATTTTTAGTCGGCAAATTTGACCCTTAGTCGGCAAATGTGACCCTTTTTGACTGTCTAAACTTGACCTGAGTAAAAATAAGTTTTTGTTTAAAAACGCGTTTATGGTAATCTACAAAAATTACAAAAACTTATTAAAAAAAGGAGGAGGCGTAAGTGTTTATATCCACAATTCAATCGACTTTATTTTGCGTAGGGATCTTAGTGTGAATGCATAGAATTAGTTAATAAAAACTCTAAAAACATAATCATAAATACTATTTATAGACAACCAGGTGGGAATTTAAAAACATTCAAAACTCATCTTAGCTCATTCTTAAACAAATTTAATAACGCACAAAAGCATGTTTACATAGTTGGTGATATAAACATTAATTTGTTGAAGCATATCTAATAATAGTGTTAAACATTTTGTTGATACTCTACTTGAGCACAATTTCATTCCGACAATTATCAAGCCAACCAGAGTAACTAAAAATTCTTCTACCTTAGTCGATAATATAATAACCAACAATTCCCATGTTTTCACCGGTATAATTAAGACAGACCTTTCAGATCATTTTCCTACCTTCTTAACTACTAAAAACATAGCACCAAACAATACCTCTCCCAAACCTCCTTTATACAAACGAGAGATCAATGAAAACTCCTTACAAAAATTTAAAAGTTTACTAAAAAACAATGTTGATTGGGATCTTATATTGCAATCAAGCGATGCGAACAACGCCTAAAAACTTTTTCTAGGTCAATTTTGTAAATATTATGAAAAAGCGTTTCCAGTTAAAACTGTTGTTATAAACAAAAAATCACTTCTAACTCCTTGGATGTCTAAAGGTTTAATCAAATCCTCAAGAAAAAAACAAAAACTCTACGACAAATTCCTAAAAAATAAAACTTATAAAAATGAAATAACTTAAAAAAATTATAAAAACTTGTTTGAAAAAACAAAACAATACTCAAAAAAGCTTTATTATTCAAATTTGTTAAAAAAAAACCATGGCTATGCTAAGAAAACATGGAATTCGATTAAAGAGATAATCGGTAATAATAACTGTACAAAAAGCAATCTCCTGAAAAAGCTTTTAATTGATGGTAAATTAGTCAGTGATAAGATAATAATAGCTGAATATCTAAATAGCTTTTTTCTTAATGTGGGTCACAATTTAGCAGCAGAAATTCCGTCGAGTTCTGCAACATTTCATTCTTACTTGATTAAGAACCTTACCACAGAAAAGATTATGAAAGAAACACATCTAGATTCTAATGAATTGCGATCCGCTTTAAACAATCTAAAAAACAACAAAAGTGCGGGCTTTGATAATATCAGTAGCTTTGTCGTAAAATCAGTATTTGATATCATTGAACCATCATTGCACCACATCTTCGATCTTTCGCTAAAATCAGGCATTGTCCCGGATAAACTAAAAATTGCTCGAGTCACCCCTATTTTTAAATCTGGAGATGATTTTGATACTAATAATTATAGACCTATACCAGTTTTACCATGTTTTTCCAAATTACTAGAACGCGTCATGTATAATAGACTTTACAATTATTTGATGGAAAACAATTTTTTATACGGTAAACAATTTGGATTTAAAAAAAACCACTCAACCGACCATGCTATAATTGAGCTAGTTAATCAAATATCTAATGCTTTTAGTAATGATTGCTTTACGCTAGGAGTTTTTATTGATCTTTCTAAAGCTTTTGATACCGTAAATCACGACATTCTTCTAAAAAAACTCGAAGTGTATGGAGTAAAAAATAATAACTTACTTTGGTTTAAAGATTATTTATCAAACCGAAAGCAATATATTCAGCATGAAACAACAAAAACAACAAATAGCGCCATAACTTGCGGGGTTCCCCAAGACTCGATCTTGGGACCATTATTATTTTCACTCTATATAAATGATTTATATTCAACATCAAACTTATTAAATTTAATCTTGTTTGCGGATGACTCAAATTTGTTTTATTCGCATAGAGACATTAGGATACTTTTTAACATAGTTAACAAAGAATTATATAAAATAAACGAGTAGTTTAGGTGTAACAAGCTCTCTTTGAATGTCAAAAAAACCAAGTTCATCCTATTTCATAAACCAAATAAAAACGAAAATATTTCTCTTAAACTACCTGATCTTAAAATAAATAATACTAATATAAAAAGAGAAAACTTTATAGACTTTCTAGGTGTGGTCTTGGATGAAAATTTGTCGTGGAAGCTCCATATAAACACTTTAGAGAGAAAGCTCTCAAGAAATATTTCATTAATGTATAAAACAAAACCTTTCCTAAATATCATTTCCTTAAGAAGTTTATACTTTTCATTAATACATAGTCATCTAAGCTATGGTAACATGGCCTGGGCAAGCACAAACTGTACTAAGCTTAAAAAACTCTAGAGTAAACAAAAACATGCCTGTAGAATTGTCTTCGGAGTAAGTAAAAAAGCGTCTAGTGAACCTCTCTTATGCAAACTTGGAGCATTGAATATATACAAAATTAACATACATCTTGTTTTACAATTTATGTACAAAATAAAAAATGGACTATCTCCTTATTTTAGCGAAATAAGTCATAAATACCCTACTAGATTCTCATATAACAACTTTGTCATCCCAAAATTTACATTAAAGTTAAATTCATACTCAATCCAACACCGCGGACCTTATTTGTGGAATATTTTTCCCCAGATTACTATCAAAAGAAATACACTTGAACAGTTCAAATCTAAATCAAAGCGTTTTTTATTATCTACGGACTTAAATTTTTTTTTTCTTTTTTAGTAAAAAAATAAACTAGCACAATTTAGTTCTTTTATTTGTTTTAACTTTTACTTGTTCTAAATTTATTTTACTAAACGAATTTATATATAAACAGTTATATCAATTGTAAAACGAAGTTTTTCACATTTTTACATATTTTATCACAAACAATTTATCACGATTTTATATATTTTGTTGTAAAAAACGACCTGTAATGAAGTCACTATGGGGCTCGGTGATAAGACAAACCGATGTCTTTTTCTTGCTCCAGCCATTTGTTTTATTATTTATGTTATTTTATAAATTGTAACTTTCTACGGCAAAAAATTAAATTAAAAAAAAAAAAAAAAATGTAGGCCCTGTCGATAGGTTAGTCGGTAAAGTCAGTCGGCAAATGTCGTTATGGCAGTCGGTAAATTTTAAAAAACGAGGAGGACCTTTTTTTGACGGCAAAAGTTGTAATGGCACCCCTTCCCCCTCTCCCCCCTCACGTGACACCTACTCGCGCCGGCCCTAGTCACAATATAATCCCAAAATCAAACTATTACGTTCATGAGAGAAATCGATTTTCAGTTTTCAATGAAAATTAATATTTTCAAGTTTAATTTTTTTTAATTTGAATTGTAAAATTTGTTTTTAAAGACTATATTGTGATTTTATACTTGTTTTTAGTAGTTATGCTTTGAATTTCGTTTTTATGAAAATAAATCACAGTAAGACACAAAAGAGTAACAATACAGGTTTAACCTTTAAAAGTTAACTTGACTTACTTTATTTTCTCAAAATGCAAAACAAAGCAAAGAATCATGATGAATGCATGAAATCTGTATCTTTTTTGTGCTTACGAAAAGCTAACAGAGTGATGACTGATTTTTTTTAGAGCGTTCACAATAGATTTAGCAAATCATATTAATTTCAACAATCCTTGAGTGCCAACTGGGATATGTGAAAAGTGCTGCATAGATCTTATAAAAAAGAAATTCAGGTAAAGTTGCTCTTCTACACCCCTTGCTTGACTATCGAACAGTGAAGATTCGTCCAACTACAAGAGAGTCAACATGGGACTGCTTGATTTGCTGCATTAGAAAGACAAAACTCAATAATCCTCTACCATTCAGCACTGCCCTATAGTTCATCCAAAAAAACAATCAGCAGTTGAGAAACGATGTTCAACATGCTTTTCTATCACTGGTAGAGGTCTTTCTCATAGTTGCACCAAATAAACGCTTAGATAGACTTTGTTGAATGTTGTCACAAAAGACAATGTTACAGCTGAAAAAGTAGCTGCTACGATGATTTTAAACCACACTTCTTCACCTCATGGTACTCTAAGACTGAATCAAGGAAAAGGAAAACTTCTTCC